TCCCATTTTGAAAGTCATGTAAATTGGATCTAACATGTCAGTATTAATTTATATTATGCTAGTACGTAAACTATTAAAGTAATTTAGAGTATCTAAAAGTAACAGTTCCGAGAAAATGAACATAGTTAGTATATAAACAATAAGTCTGTAAAATAAACTATTAAATGTGCTGATGATAGTGATATTTAGTGTTGTATTGTCGTCTTTCAGGTTGTATCTCAGCTTTAATGCATTTTTTTAAATAAACAAATAGAAAACCATCACGATAGCAATAAGATCCAATGGACAGCCGATCTCTTTCACTCCAATATGGTGGAATTGTGGGGCTGTTGCTGGGCGCTGCTGTTGCAATGGAACATTCAATTGAGTGTCGCCTCTTGGTAATTCCAAGCTCTTTGGCCACTCCCATTACCGCAAAATCATCTGATAAATTAACTGAAAAATAAACAGGAAGTGCATGTTCAGATTTTAAACTAAGATTAGAAGGGCAAACAATTTATCTATTTTTATTATGACATGCAAGGATAGATTATTCACCACACAACTAGCAATGTGAGCTAACAAAATCATATGATTAGTTTGGATTTTTTGGGGACTTTAAGTACGCCAACAAACTGAAGTGTACTTTGATAATTTTTTCATTTTCCTTTGCGAAAATAATGTTAAAATTTCTTAACAGGTAGATCGCAAACCTTATAATATAATAATCATAACATTAATTACAAACTATTAACTGGTATTTTAGTGGATTCTGTGTTACACTTAAAATGTATTTTAGTGGATTCTGTGTTACACTTACAATAATAAAATTAAATCCAGATTTTAGTGGCTGTATATCATTTTTTGAATTAAATCGTAAGCACCTTGTTGACTCTACACCCATTCCACCCATCCCACTTCAATAGCAGCAAATACATTTTGAAATACAACATGGACATTTAACAGTTTTATTTTGTGTGTAGTTCCATAGCAGTGAAAGTCTCTGAATATAAAATGAGACCTGCATCACACTTCAACCACTTTGTTGGTTTTATCGTTCATCTCAACGTTTTCCATGTGTTTAATAGCGAATGATTCTCCTTTCTGATGGGCAGGAAACCTGAACCATCCATTAGTAACACAAGCTATGACGTTGCTAAGGTACAGCTTGACTCAGGCAGGGTTTCCATGCCAACCGTCAACAGTCTGGTATAAAAAAGTTGTAATAGTGATAGCCCACCTGAAACCGAGAGAGCCGAATGGCGGCAGGGTCACGTTAGAAACAACAGCCATCATTTAAAAGCAGGAGAAATGGGAAATTTATCCTAACAGCTGGCTTACACGGCTCGCAAAACATGCCTTCTTAAATCTCCATGTTTGCATAACCTCAAAGCTATGCTGTGTCTGAATCCCACCTAGTGTGTTGGGGTAGGGGATTTGTTTCAACATAATAATTAAGGATCAGTGACATAAGAAAATAACAGCATGTTTAGCTTTACTTTTTACTGACTGGGACATTCATTTAGTCTGTGAGAGGATTTGCATCATTGTTGTTTTAGCTATATCTGAGGGAAAGAAAATATGGCCGACCTCATTTGGATGAATGCCCAAATGAAGATACAATTGTTTGAATGGACTCCTATTATTAGATCACACAAGCTCCCGTTTGCCTTAGAGTCAATGTGGAGACTTCATAATTTCTGAACATAACAAAATGGCACTTTTGCATTATCCTTTTGATATGACCTCTTGATTTAGTTTTTTGAGCATCTTTGTCTTTTCCCTCACTCACACAGTGGTGTGCACCCGTTTATTGAATCTCCAGATTCATGCTTCACCTGCTGCAGGTTAATTAAGGTGTGAGACTAAAGAGAGGCTTAAAACAACAGACGAGAGCATCAAAGCCTTGGGGATTTTTGAAAAAATGTTATTAAAGGCTGGAGCTGCTAAGGCATGCAGAAATTGCCTCTGTGGGAACCAGTAGCAAATTGGTCATTGGTTTAATAGTTATTGATTTATTGTATTTTGCCGACTCTGACAGGTAAAAGAAACACCTTATCTGAATAATCAAATATTCATTCATTCATTCATTTTCGTGTCAGCTTAGTCCCTTTATTAACCTGGGGTCGCCACAGCGGAATGAACCGCCAACTTATTCAGCAAGTTTTTTACCAGCCGCAACCCATCTCTAGTAAACATCCACACACACACTCATACACTACGGACAATTCGCCTGTACCGCATGTCTTTGGACTGTGGGGGAAACCGGAGCACCCGGAGGAAACCCACCTGAACACATGGAGAACATGCAAACTCCACACAGAAACGCCAACTGAGCCGAGGCTCGAACCAGCGACCCAGCGACCTTCTTGCTGTGAGGCCACTATATCGCAATAATCAAACAATTAAAGTATACAGTGCTCAGCATATATAAGTACACCACTCACATATCTATCTTTTAAATTCATATTTTTTATAATTTTACATTATATCTGTGCATATACAGTTACAGTCAGAATTATTAGCCCCCTCCCCTCCATTATTTTGCTTGAATTGAATTGTATTATCTTTCAATTTCTAAATATGTTTGGTGACTAAAATGTTGTTTTAATAAATATATCTGTTAAATAAATAAGTTTTGTTTAAATGCCCCAAAATACATTGCCTATATTAACTGACAATATATAAAATATTCATTTTCTAAATGGGGTGTACTCAATTATGCTGAGCAAAGTATGTGCAGTGATTTCGTTTGCAATATTGCATTTAAGCAACATTGGGAATCATTTCATTTGGGCAATTTCCCAAAATATGTATTTTAGTTATAGTCTTATGACCTACAAGTGTTAAAATTTATTTATTTCAAACATTTATTTCAATGATTTTCATATGTCATCATTGCAAAATTTGAAAAAAAGTTTTTGTGTAAACAATAAAAATTTTGAAATTACTGTTTATATGGTGCACACTACATTTCTTGTTATTATCAAAGTTGTGTGATATTTTTAACATTGATTAGAACGTTTGAAACAACAGTGTTAATTTAAAATAGTTTTTTTTTGACAGCAAAGTCCTTATTTATGTTATTATCACTTTTGATCAATTGAATGTGTCTATGTGTGTCTGTCCAAAAAATAAATTTACTGACCCCAAACATTTGAATGGTCATACATACATCTCTTGTATGTAGATGAAATTATGGAAATGTTACTTCATGTACTTATTTTATTTAAAATAAAAAGAGTGTGGGGAAACACCATCTCTTTTAAGATCTCAGAGATCAGATTTTGGCAAATTACATCTGGGTATGGTGTGAAATGTGCCTAAAGTTTGTAAAGTGAATGTTTGCACAGTGTGAAATGAACTTTGCTCATTATAAAAATCCTCCTGTCATATAGGCCCACAAGTTCAACAGTCATGACGCATATTTTCTCACACACAAAGAGTACATAGTGTGTGTCTTGTCATGCGGGTTGAATCAGTCGGTGGTTGTAAATGCCAATCCTTTATATTTGTATGCTCTGTAACTTACAGCTGAGATTATTCATTTAGATTTTAAAAATTTGTTCTGGGTGACCTTATATCTTAGTGGTTAGCAGTCACCTCACACCAAGAAGGTCCCTGGTTTGAGCCTCGGCTAAGGCAGGTGTGGAGCTTGCATGTTCTTCCTTTTTTTGCATCGATTTCCTTGAGGTGCTCCGATTTCCCTCTCAGGCCAAAGATATGCGCTATAGGTAAATTGGGTAGGCTAAGTTGTCCATAGAGTGTATGTGTGTGAATGTGAGAGTGTTTGGGGTTTTTCCAGTACTGGGTCGCACCTGGAAGGGCATCCGCTGTGTAAAACATATGCTGTTTAATTTGGTGGTTCATTCCACTGTGGTGACCCCTGATGAATAAAGGGACTAAGCCGAAGTAAAATGAAATGAAAATTTGATCTGCTATAACTATTCAAAGACAAAGTTGCAGTGTCAGAGCTCATAAAATTAACAAATAAAATAAAACAACAGCAAAAAATGTGAAAATACATTTACTGAATAAACTTTGATGTAACAAACATTACACCCACTTGACTGTGTTCGTTGTGTAGGTTACCAACACTATAGTCGTTGAGCAGGCGAAAACGCACCTAATTTACATTGCCGATTTTTAACTTTTTTTTGCAAATTCTGAAAAAAATTTGCTAATGTTATGATGGAAACTCAGCTTATAATAAACTATAACAGCTGATAACTTTTTAGCGCTTCAGCTTTGAAAACTGTACTTAATAGTCGGGCTGCAAAATAAATCAAAAATATGGAAAATCACAAATGTGATTATACATATCGATAACTAGCAAACCCTCCGTAAGACTCTCCTGCACATCAGGGATTGTAGATGTCAGTGCACATCTCTGAAACAAGCACAGTGGACATGATTATTTTCTTGTCCAAAAACCGTAACAATTTTAGTAGGGATGCTGAAACATGACCAAGCAAGCCATGTTAAGAAAACAATAAGACAACAAAGAAAAAACTGCACTCAAGTGTTTTTGTTTATTTTTGTTTGTTTACATTGATAACATGTCAGATTTGTTTAATGCAACAGTAAAACATGTCTCTTCACTTTCAGAAATTGCAGTGATTTTTTTATTGACCCTGAAAAAGATGTAAAACATGTTGGTTATGGATATATTTTTTTAAAATATTGTAATGCATAATGAATGTCCCATTATTTAGCTTGCTAGAACATAACCCATTTTTCTTCAAAATCACACAACCTTTCTAAATATGTGTCATATGTTGATAAATTGAGAAGTATTACTCAGGGCAATTCTGAAGTTGTGCTAAAAACTAAAATAAAAGGCAAACAAAAAATACTACAAGGCTTAAAGATTAGGAATAGAGTTCCTTAACACTGATAATATTGGGCTATCAGTGACGTTTAGATGTGCAACACAAAGTATTGATTTATGCAGCTGCACAGTACAAGGGTTAATATTTGACTAAAACTGTCTCTAATTGCTTTTTTCTCTCTTTCTGCAGTCATGAAGGCTTTTTTTGTGCTTGCCACATTGCTGTGGTGTTTAGCGACAAGTTTATCCTGGGCAGCCAAGATTGTGGTAGTTCCTCCAATCATGTTTGAGAGCCATCTATATATCTTTAAGACTCTGGCTTCGGCTCTCCATGCCGAGGGCCATGACACCGTCTTTCTGGTTTCAGAGGGCCGTGAGATCCCACCTTCCAACCATTATCGTCTCCAGCGATACCCTGGGATTTTTAACAGCACTTCAGCTGATGACTTCCTCCAATCAAAAGTTCGCAACATCTTCTCAGGGCGTCTCACAGCACTGGAGCTTTTTGACATCTTGGACCATTATTCTCAAAACTGCGATGCGGTTGTAGGAAGTACTTCTGTCATGGAGCAGCTAAAACGTGAACATTTTGACCTGTTGCTCGTCGATCCCAATGAGATGTGTGGATTTGTCATAGCTCACATTTTGGGTGTCCAGTATGCAGTATTTAGCACAGGACTGTGGTACCCTGCTGAAGTTGGGGCACCAGCTCCCCTATCTTATGTCCCGGAATTTAACTCTCTACTAACGGACCATATGTCGTTGTTTCAACGGGTAGCTAACACAGCGGTGTACCTAGTTTCCAGGTTTGGTGTCCAGTTCCTGGTTCTACCTAAATATGATCGCATTATGAGGAAGTACAACATCCAGCCATCTGTCTCCATGCACGATCTGGTTCAGAACAGTCGACTCTGGATGCTGTGTACTGACATGGCACTGGAGTTCCCACGACCAACTTTGCCACATGTTGTCTATGTAGGGGGCATCCTCACTAAACCTCCCAGCCCATTACCACAGGTAAGAAACCACTGCTATTATATTTGAAAATTTTTTAAAGGGGTCCTTTCCTTTTTCATTTTAGGATGGTAAAATGTTGGTAAAGCTCAATGCAAAGGGTGATATTTTCTATTACAGAATCCACTTTAAAAGGCAGAACACAAACAGCTGATAGGGTCTACAGCAAGCTTTTTTTCTGACTTTATAAGACCACAATCCTAAAATGTACATAAACCCTTCCTCTTGGCATGATACTTCCAGACAAAAATGGACATGAATAGGCTTCATACGGCTTCACACTGCCATTAAGGGAAACTTTAACAGTGGTGTAGAATAAAGGTAAATAATGTGTTTTTTTAGAAGAATAGACATAATAAACACAGCTCATAAACATTATCAGGGCTTTAAAAAAATGATGGTTTACAACCCCTTTAAAAAATACACCTACTGTATTCACAGTAGAGGTACTGCTGTATTTTAGTAACAGTGTTTCAAATGATCTCGAAATCTGTGTACACTCAAAAAATCTACTTATTTACTACTACTACTACTTATTTAACATGAGCTGAATCAATACATTTTTGAGAATAACTTGATTGTTGCCTCGGCTGGGTCAGTTGGCATTTCTGTGTGGAGTTTGAATTTTCTCCCTATGTTCGCATGGGTTTCCTCCGCGTGCTCCGGTTTCCCTCGCAGTCCAAAGACATGCGGTACAGTTGAATTGGGTTGGCCAAATTGTCCGTAGTGTATGTGTGTGAAAGAGTGTGTATGGATGGGTTTCCCAGAGATGGGTTGCGGCTGGAAGGGCATCCGCTGTGTAAAACATGTTGAATTATGATGATAATGTTGTGTTGATTTTACTGAACTTTTAAAGAATATTGAGACCCAGCAGTGCACTGGTTAGGCATGGGTCGGTAAAAGATTTTGACAGCATGATAACCTTGGATAAAAATTTCACTGTATCACAATATTGTGATTACTACTCCAAAATAAGTTATTTTTAAATGTCTAGGCAAAAAAAAAAAAAAAAAAAAACAACACTCCCCACACCCCATTGAACACAAAATGTTTTATTTTAAGAAACATTCAAAATATTTTGGACTAGTAGCTTTTGTTGTAGAAGTTCCTTTTCTGCTGAAGATACTGTTGCCCTAAAAAACTAAATAAAATAGTTGTGAAAAACATGTAGAAAAATCTTACATGTACCTTAGGAATGGTACATTCTCAGAAATAAAAGTACAAGGGCTGTCACTGGAACAGTACCTTTTCAAAAGGTACATACAGTATTTTTACCTAAAGAGCCCATATTGGTACCTCAAAGGTACATTTTAGGTGCATTTGGGTATTGATATATACCTTTGAGGTACGACTAAGGACTCTATAGGTATAAATATGTACCATTTTAAAAAGTTACTGTCCCAGTGACAGCTCTTGTACCTTTATTTCTAAGAGTGTATAACAGAAAACGTTGGCGGTTTTAAAACCTTGACTTTTCTAAACCATGGTAAACCTTGAAACCGGTTATCATCCCATGCCTAGCACCGGTCAGGTTTTAAACACATCAGTATTCTGCATATGAATCTCAACAATGGTGACATGCTTTATGCTGCAGTCAATGCTGGGAGAATCATACAACACTCATCTATGACATCGAAGAAAATTTGTCACAATTGTTGAAATTTGAAGGCTGATTCTTGATATCTGTGTTTTTTTGAGTCATATAGAAGTTCAGTGTATTCCTAAAACCTGACCAAAGGACTCTCTGTGCAGTGTAATCAACACCCCAGTGCCATTATTATACAATGTTAAAAATCACTGACTACGTCAGTGCTTGCTTTAACATTCAGTCACAGCAGTGTAAACAATGCCAGTTCCATTGACCCATTTTTATTTATTTATTAACTTTTTTACAGAATAGGTCAATATTGGATATCTTATTATGCTTATTACATTTTATGCAATGGTCATTGCCCTGCCATGGTCTAACTACACATTTTGAATAGAAAACCGTTGTGCATTTGGATCAGAAACTTGTGTTTGTCTGCTGCACGCTCCACTGTTTGGATCACAATAACAATTTCTGTTACAAAGTTCACTTGTTCTTTCAGTCAAAGCTTTTGAAGCTTCAGTTCTTGAATGGCACAAAATGTACGTCATTAAGTGAATCGACTGACGCAAAAACCTCATTTTAATTTCAAGACCTATGAATATCTCTGCTCTAAAACCAATTGACAACCTCCAAAATACCAGAACCCACTCTCTGTAACACATGAACTTGGTCCGCCTTCTACTTAATATTCAGTAGGCTGGACTGTGGTAAAAATGTGCAATATGTAATCGGCAATACCATTTCAAATTGTTTGATTTATTTATGTCACTGTGTTTCATTTTACCCCATAACGTCTTGATTTTGCCAACAGCATGTTCATAAAGGCCATTCTTATCAATGCGGGTGATTGCGCAGAGTTGGCCATTGAATAGGAGTGGGGGTTCTAAACCTAAGCTTGCACTTTTGGAATACCAACCACCCAAATGGCTTCATTGTATGCTGCGGAACTATAATGCAATAGCGTGTTTGTCAGTGAATAGTGTGTGAGTGTGTATTTGTAAATGTGCCCATTGTCGGGTGTGTATGAAGGACACTGAGACCAGTGTGTGGGGCGGACAGTCAGTGCCAGGCCAATGCACGCTGTTCAGCTGCAGCTGGACTCCCCCAGACAGCGAGAAAGCAGTTCTTATACAAAAACCTACTCTTTCAAAGGCTATGCTAACTGCTATCACAAAAGGCTAACTCAAAAGGCTAGTGCTTTTTGTGCTAACAATTCCGATACAGTGGTATGAGCTTTTTACTTGGCATAATTCGCTTGTTTTGAGAACTATTGTAAATGTTCTTACAGGTGTTTATAATGCTTCAATTACATTACTTATCTATTATTTTCCAATTCCATTTTCTTGAAATGTATGCACAATTTTAATATATTAAACAAAAGTGAAACTCTAACAATATGAACCTTCACTTTAGCTCTCTGGGCCTCTGTGTCTGAAACTGAGGAAAAATGTTCAGAAACTTGGCAACTTTTTAAAAGAAGTACAGTAGATACATTAATTTCGATGATATCATATTTACTGTACATAAACTCACAGTTGCACTGACTTGCTCTCACAGAATTATCTTTTTGAAATGTTAACATTTTTGGGGAAGATTGTCTAAGAGGTGTCCAGTTCATTTTTGAAATGATGTAGATTAAAATAAGCAATACAGTGGCTTATTTAAGATTTAACTGTGTTAATGTCCTGCTCTAGGTGGCTGACTAAAGTTTAATATGTTTTTAATACTAATTATAGCCAAGAGCAATGTGCAGTGGTTAATATTTTGTATGTGTACAGTAGGAAATGTCAACAACACATACTATACAGTATTAGGAATTTAGGTTCTCTTAGAAAGTATGTGCTTTTCTTTTGATCGAACAAGTTATTGGCTTTTTATGTATAAATCTTATTTCAGCTTTACATTTTTACATTTATGTTTTTACAACTTTTGAGAATAGATCAAGGATCATTAAAGAAAAAAAATCTGGATAAAAAAACCCTAATGCAAAGAGATCTAAACATGTTTGACACACCTGGTCTAGAAAAGACTGACATTTGTGACCATGGACCACAAAACTATTCATATGTGTCACTTTTTTAAATAAAGATTTATGCATCACATGAAAGCTAAATAAATAAGTGTTCCATCAATTTATGGTTAGTTATGATAGGAAAATATTTGGCCAAGATATAATTATTTTTTTATCTGAAATCTGAGGGTTAAAAAAAATCTACATTATATTATTAATCAAAATTTGAGAATTGATAGTTTTGTTGTTAGACATTTACAAAATATTTGCACATAACATGATCTTAATGTTATAGTGACTTTTGGGATAAAAGAAAAATCTAGCCTTTTGACCTATTGCATGTATTTCTGGCTTGCATATTAGCAAAAATGTACCTGTGTGACTGGTTTTGTGTCGGTCACATTTGTCCATCATCTTTTTTGTCACTGGCATCTCCATTGTCAGAGTTAAAAAATGGCTGTGGTTTAAAAAAATCTTTGTGGCTTCATAATAGGTAAACAGGTTTTCAGAACTTCATCATGTTTTTTTCTGGTTGAGGGATTTTTAAACATACTGTGTATTTATGACAAAGGTAAAGCATGAGCTGTGACTACACCTGTTATAAAAAGATTGTCACTTGTGTGGTATTGAAAAGTCAAAAGTTGTACCTTGAAGCCTTGGACAAACTAGGTTAGAAATTGCTAGTGAACATGTATAATATGTTGCATTTCAGCCATTTTGTTGTATGTTTACAAGAACACAAGTTTATAAAACAGGCGTTTAGTAATGTGTCTGTAACAAACTTCCTGTTCTGTTCGAAGTTCTTTGTACATATATGGTCATAAAAAATACTGAATGATAATGCTTCTACTTTATTCTTCCCTTTTTTTTTCAAGCTGAGTAAAAAAATAATAATTCAGATGCTACTTCATCCACCATGAACCATACAATCCTATAAATTGTTTCATTGATAGTCAGACTGCGCTGTAATTGATCTGTGTTTACAGGAGTTTGAAACCTGGGTGAAGGACACAGATGAAGATGGTTTCGTGGTGGTCTCATTTGGTGCAGGAGTGAAGTATTTGTCAGATGACATTGCTCAGAAACTCGCTGGAGCCTTGAGCCGTCTGCCCCAGAGAGTCATCTGGAGGTACTGCCATTCATTCGTTCTCTCATGTGATCACTGATCCATTTTTCCAGCAGATCAAATCACCTGCGTCTCAGTCCATTATGGTTTTTTCTATCACAGAGTATCCAATGGCAACTGGCCTGTTGTGGCAGGTGGCTTAAAAGCCATTCATTCTAAATTATCTGATCGTTTGCTAGACTTTCCAGTGGTTTCTAAATGCAAAATGACACTAATTTGTCTTGAACTATAGCATTTCCATACATCATGTATAGATACACTTTATACACTATACTAGGAGTGTTCGATCATGTGATAAATCTGTGTGGAGACACTATTAACAATAAAACTCAATACATATTTTAATTGTTCAGGGAGGAAGTATACTGCATCCTTTGAGATGGTAGACACTTCAAGAGCCATGGGTCCCTCTTTATATTAGGATTGTTTTACTCATACAATTTTGTATATATATATTACTTATTCTATACCTATAGTGTTCATGTTTTATTACAAAACACTGCCATTGAGGTCAGGTAAGGCTAGAAACAGATTTAATTGTACTTTTAATAATAGTACTATTTAGTAGCATTTAGTAGTACTGAAACCTGGTGACGTGCCACAAAAAAACAAGGAAACGATGGAGTAAATATGTACAGCTTTAATAATAAAATCCCAGGGTACACAAACTTGGAGGCAAACAGCGGGACATCAGATGTGGGGAATGACAAGACCGCACAATGCACTAAAGAAACACAAACACTTAAATACACAGACAAATCAAACTGAAAAAGGTGGCAGAGATAAAAACACAGGTAAACATAAGAACCACTAATACAAATGGGAAAAGGAACAAAGGACTACACACCCCATTCAAATCAATACAATAAACACTGCTGAGGAACTGGGACAAGAAGCACAAAAGGAAAGAAACCAAACTAAAAACAGAGTCTAGGGTTCTGACAACATGTATCTACCAGAATATAAACGCTTGTAATATACTAAGAATACAGAGCACTCTGCTTTGTTATTAGTACTTTAAAGTTCAGACAATTGAACTGTGAAATGGATTACATGCTTCTTTGAAATGTATTACAAGTTTCTTTATACAAGCACAATATAAATAAAGTGGTCAATTCTTTCTAGACAGAAGTAGTAACAATTTTCTAAATTTAGGCTCCAAAATAGATATAGGCTGTTTTTTAATTCCAAGAACGCAGAAAATGGACTTGTGTTCTTGTAAACAGTGGTCTTACCAAGTCACCTCGGAAGAACGCATCCTGTGAGAAATGAGATTCTGCGTTCTTCCTGATGGTCACGTGACTTTCACGCATGTTTAACCTAAAATTATTTAAACCTTGCATCATTCATACAACAATTTATTGTTTTTCCCCTTTTCACAATATATACTCTCCATAAAGACTTTACAAATATACTTTCCACAATACGAATAAAACATTTTAATATGAATTTCAGCAAATAAACACATTAATGTGTTTATGCCTTTATTAAGATTTTCATGGTAATGTTTACTTTCACAGTCTCATTTAAGGAAACTCCTTAGGTAAATAAGTTATACAGTGCATCCGGAAAGTATTCAAAGCGCTTCACCTTTTCCACAGATTTGTAATGTTACAGCCTTATTCCAAAATGAATTAATCTAATTTATTTCCTCAAAATTCTACACACAAAACCCCACAATGACAATGTGAAAAAAGATTTTTTGAAATTGATTTTTTGTATTCACAGTCTTTGCCGTGAAGCTCTAAATTGAGCTTGGGTGCATTCTGTTTCCACTGATCATTCTTGAGATGTTTTAGCAGCTTAATTGGAGTTCACCTGTGATAAATTCAGTTGATTAGACATGATTTAAAAAGGCATACGCCTGTCTATATAAGGTTCCAGGGTTGACAGTGCATGTTAAAGCACAAACCAAGCATGAAGACAAAGGAATTGTCTGTAGACCTCTGAGACAGGAATGTCTCATTGCACAAGGCTGGGGAAGGTTACAGAAAAATTTCTGCTGCTCTGAAATTTCCAATGAGCACAGTGGCCTCCATCATCGGTAAGTGGAAGATGTTTGGAACCACCAGGACTCTTTCTAGAGATGGCCGGCCATCTAAGCTGAGTAATGGGGGGAGAAGGGCCTTAGTCAGGGAGATGATCAATAACCCGATGGTCACTCTGTCTGAGCTTCAGCATTCTTCTGTGGAGAGAGAAGAACCTTACAGAAGGACAACCATCTGTGCTGCAATTTACCAATCAGGCCTGTATGGTAGAGTGGCCAGATGGAAGGCACTCCCTACCTGGAATTTGCCAAAAGACATCTGAAGGACTCTAAGACTATAAGAAACAAAATCCTCTGCTCTGATGAGACTAAAATAAACTCTTTAGAGTAAGTGCCAGGCGTTATGTTTGGAGAAAACCAGGCTCCACTCATCACCAGGCTAAAACAATCCCTACAGTGAAGCATGGTGGTGGCAGCATCATGCTGTGGGGATGTTTTTCAGCAGCAAGAACTGGATGACTAGTCAGGATAGAGGGAAAGATGAATGCAGCAATGTACAGAGACATCCTGAATGAAAACCTGCTTCAGAATGCTCTTGGTCTCAGACTGGGTTGACAGTTCATCTTCCAGCAGGACAATGACTCAAAGCACACAATATATCAATGGAGTGGCTTCCCACCTTCAGTCGCAATGACTTCTGGGACTTCTAGAATGAGTTTGGAGCTCAAGTCTGCATCGATGCATCATCGATACCAAGAACACATCCAGGAACTTTCATGCACCCTCCGTTCTTGCGGTCTTGATTTTTGGAACTGAACTTAGGCAATTGATGATGACGTTACATGTGAACATGAGGATGCAAGATTTCTGAAGAATGTACATTGAGAAACAGCCTCTGATTATTCTGAACATCAATTTGTATTTTGATTTGTTGAATTTTTGCCTGAAAAAGTTCAATCTTTCTCACTTATACATGTTCTCTGAAATGGTTTACTGATAGTTGGTGAAACTACTATCAATTATATAAAAAGAATTAATTATCCCTTTAGTTTTTTTTTCTGAAAATACTGTTTATTATTTACTATTACTACTATTATTATTTACTTTGTGCTCATGTCATTAACCTATTTGACAATTTCTGTTTAACACATAGACAGAACATCACCTTGGATTTATAAGGTTCTACAGAGCTTTAAAATTTTTGCCTTTCATAGCAAACAGCATGTGTGTACCATTTGTTTTTTTAAATAAAAAGTCTTAAAATTTAAACAACTTATAAAAAAAAACATCCCGTTATGTAAATAAGTTGTCATTTAACAAGAATATGTCAGTAACTAAATTTAGACCCTTATAATTCTAAAATATGATGAGAAGTCTAAGAATTTTACTGTGTTTTCATTCAATTCTGAATAGGAAGAGTAAAAATATAAAAGATATAAGAAATTATATAATAATCTAAATATCTATATCTACATATATAAAAATATACACAAATATAAAAACAAATATTAATGTAAGATGTTAAAATATAGAATATAAAAATAGGATTGACTTACAATAGGGAAATCTGAATTCACCGATGGCCTTATTTGAGTAAGATATAAGTTGAAGTTTTTTATCTTTTCTGAAATGCTCAGTCCTAGAGTAGCTAGTACAATACAGACTACATAGTACAAGTTTTCTGTCATGGAAGAAATAAAGTTAAGCAGATCTGAAACTTAATTCATAAATAACTAAGTTTAACAGATTTAAGAATATACAGTTGAAGTCAGAATTATTAGCCCCCTTGAATTATTAGCCGCCCTGTTTATTTTTTTCCCCAATTTCTGTTTAACAGAGAGAAGATTTGTTCAAAACATTTCTAAACATAATAGTTTTAATAACTAATTTCCAATAACTGATTTATTTTATCTTTGCCATGATGACAGTAAATAATAGTTTACTCAATTTTTTTCCAGACACTTCTAGTGACATTTAAAGGCTTAACTAGCTTAAATAGGATAACTAATAATTTTAACAGTAAAATGGTGTTTAAAAGATTAAAGACTGTTCTTATTATAGCCAAAATAAAACAAATAAGACTTTCTCCAGAGGAAAAAATATTATCAGACTTACTATGCAAATTTCCTTGCTCTGTTAAACACAATGTGGGAAATATTAAAAAAGAAAAAAAATTAAAGGGGGTTAATAATTCTGACTTCAACTGTATGTCCAGCATAAATGCATGTAAACTGTACATTAAAAAAGAAATTAAAATATGGTTGTTTCCTCTTTATATCTTCCTAAGTAAAGCTGCATGCTTATAGAAAGCAGCTCTTTTAGTTGTCATAGGCAGTAATATTGTCATGACTCCTGTAGTCATGCCATATAATCTCAATTGCTTTCTTGCGTTCATGCCAAATGTCCCTTGGTAAGACTTTACTAATGAGGACACAGTTGGGAAGTTGAAATGCCCAGGGAACATGCACACAGTACCAGATAAAAAAATCTGTACAGATAGACTGACACACACTTCAGTAATCTATAAAAATACACCAATGTTGTTACACATATAGTCATGAACATATGGTTTCAACTCATTCTCTCTCCCACTGTGCATACATTACAGTGATGGTAATTAAAGTCACTGACTACTGCCAGGTTTCTTAGTAACTGTAGAATGTTTGTCATTAGGTTTGACACTTACTGGCAAAGCTCTGAAGTATTGATTTTGAAAGGCCAACATGAAATTAAAATGGATTTCATTAGATTTTAAAAAAATTTCTCAATATATACTATCAGTGTTAGATGATCGTGCTGCTCTATTTTTGTTTGCTGAATTGTTGAAAAAAATGTTTTACAGTAAGTAGGGATGCAACAACTATAGATTTTGGTTCTGCAAGTATAGTCTGGGAAATAATCACGGTTTCATGGATATCAAGATTATTATGCATTTATTAATTTCAAAGCACTACTAGTTAATGTGAAAAATTCTTAAGATTTAAAGTGTTATTTATTGCTGCTCAGTAATCAGTCAATACAGCACAAAATAATAATAAAAAACAAACAATTGTCCATTTATCTTTGGACCTAAAAATAATATTTTTTAGGGTGGGATTTTAAATATAAGTAATAGTTTTACACTAAAAATAAATGACAGAACAAAAATAAAATAAAATAATTAAATAAATAAATAAAATTAAGAATAAAAAAAATTTGTATTTGTCTAATGTAAATCCAAGCTACATATTAGCTAAGTGTTTCCCCTATTAAAGAAAACAAATGTAGTCAAAGGCTGCTGAAGCTCTGTCTGAAAGGCACTTTTGATCAACTATATTACAACATTTTTTTGTTTGTTGTGTAGAAATGTGCATATTCCATATAAAATATAAAAACTGATCGTCAGTTATTGTCACATGACTCGAGGTTTGCTCGCGGCATTCTTTCAACCATGCACACTCAAGCTGCATGCATCGATGCGATATGTGATCGGCCCTTAGTTAATAACCTCAGCCAGAGTTAATTCAGTGTGTGGTTAATAGCCTCAATCTTGGAACTTTAAACTAATACACAGTTGGCATAACTTTGTTTAGTTGCAGCAGTTTTGTTCCGTGCAGAATCGCGGCGTTGAGAAGCCTTTACGTTTATATAACCGTGATGAATTAAAGCGTGGTTAATAGTTGCATCCCTAACAGTAGCCTAAGTCATTTGTTAAAGACAAATTCTTTCATAAAAAGCTAATTTAGTATTTTGATTGATCATTATTTTGTTGCTCTCACAGATAAAGTTTGTCTGGTATGGATTTTATAAGCAAATAAAAGCAAAAATTCTATATATTTATTGGCAGATGTTTTGAGTCTAATATTATGAGACATCTAATTTAAGCTTCTCGTTAACTGAATGATCCTATTAAATGATTATGCAAACTTACACGTCACAAATTACCTGTATTTCAAGGTTTAAAACAGAATAGTATTAGAAATTTTTGAATAGTGAGAGTCATACATTTTACATTGATTTACTGAAAAAATCCTATATAGTCATATGGGCTATATATATAAAAAAAGGAATTCTTAAGAAAAAAATGCTCTAAATTTGTTATTACTCCCTTTTCTGCTACCGCTAAATACTTGCCGTAGTAATTCACAAAAGCTTTTACTGGTAAAGCAGCCTTTCTAGAATTTTGCCAGTAGTTTTCACTTGGATTTTCTTACCCAGGTCTCATCCTTTGTTGTGTTTTATCTTTGAATATTCTGTTTCATTTGAAAATCCATCTCTTTACATAGTCAAATGGGTTGCAAATGCAGTTTCATGTTGCATTCAATGCCTAACTTAAAAGAACAATTTATTAAATCTTTATTTGTTAACAATAATATTTAAGTATTACGAAAAAAAATAAAATAACAAACAAACAAACAAACCAAGAAATATAAAACGCTTACAAGCTCTGAAGAAATCCATGTTGTTCTGCAATGACACTGGTTGAATCTCTTTCATCATTTGCATTTTTTTTTTTCTGAATGTAGGCATAGTTTTTAATCTGATCTATACATGCAAAATATTTGGCCTCTGTCTCTGTCACACAATTTAGTCTCTTAATGTGTTTTTTTTTTCTTTCCAGCATACCTCATTTCCCTGCAGTCATGGTGTATTTATGATAATATTTTTGATAAATGATTGTCATCTTAGCTCTAGATGATAAGCTTTTTACTGTTTTTGAATATTTTCTAGAATGAGACATCTGTATCTTACTTTGTTTAATCTCTCTGCAGGTTCTCTGGAGTTCCTCCATCAAATCTTGGCAACAATACTAAACTAGTGGACTGGATGCCACAGAACGACTTGCTGGGTAAGTATTCATTCTATCACTTTTACAGATCGATAGAATTTTTATTTAAATTATGTTTTGTTGGCCGTGTTCGCGTGAGTTTCCTCCAGGTGCTCCAGTTTCCCCCACAGTCTAAAGACATGCGGTACAGGTGAATTAAATAAGCTAAATTTGCCATAGTGTATGTGTGTGAATGCAAGAGGTTATGGGTGTTTCCCCATGTTGGGCTGCGGCTGGAAGGGCATCCACTGCGTAAAACATATGCTGGATAATTTGCCGGTTCATTTCACTGTGACGACCCCTGATTAATAAAGGGATTTAGCCGAAAGGAATATGAAAAAATATATAATGTTATATAATATATAATAATGTTAAAAAAAAAAAGGTCAGGAGAAGGATTTCTTCAATGTCATTAATATTAGTCATTTATTAGAAACAAATGAATAATTCGATACACAGAGCTCTGGGGGTGGCGTTACACCAATGCAATGCAAAAATGACATTCAGAAGGTTCGCAACCACATTGCATTTTCCCTGACTCCAGTATTTATCCAAAACTAATATTAAAGGTGTAATTTGTCACTTGTCGATCATTCTGCAGTCCTCCGGCAGCCGCACTAAACATACTTGATCTTTTTCTCCAAATTCTCTGCACAACATAAAAAACATAAGACTTCTCAACTACAAATATTCTGGGTTCAGTTTCAGCACATCTGTGCTTCAACAGGTAAGCTAAGTGATAAGTCAAATTATTTTCAGATATCGATGTCGCTTTATCTTTCCAGTGCACTGTATGGATTTCTGCAAAAATGCTTCATTAGTATGTAAAGCGTATCACACTTGGAGAAGAAGTTTGGGTAATATATCACCGAAGCAATACAAATGTTTAATGGAAAAAAAGAGACAAAAATAATAAAAATTATTCTTTTTTTTCACAACAGTTTATTATAGTTAACTAAAACCAAAAAAAAATTTATATCATTATTTAAAATAAAATTAAGTTGCACTGAAATTAATTTACATTTTTTTATATATATTTTATTTCAGTTAATTGTAAAAAACAAAATAGGTCATTCATTCATTCATTTATTCATTCATTCATTTTCTTTTCGGCTTAGTCCCTTTATTAATCTGGGGTCGCTACAGCAGAATGAACTGCCATATTAACTAGCTAATGTTTTTACGCAGCGGATGCGCTTCCAGCTGCAACCCATCTCTGGGAATCATCCATACACTCTCATTCACACTCATATACTGTGGACAATTTAGCTTACCCAATTCACCTGTACCCCATGTCTTTGGACTGTGGGGGAAACAGAAGCACCTGGAGGAAACCCACGCGAGCGTGGGGAGAACATGCAAACTCCACACAGAAACACCAACTGACCCAGCCGAGAACCAGCGACCTTCTTGCTGTGAGGTGACAGCACTACCTACTGCGCCACCGCGTCGCCCAAGAAAATAGTTAATAGTCTAAATTTAATATAACAATTAATAAATGTTTCCAGGGCATCAAATGATTTCTGGAGGATCATGTGTCTGTAGGAACACTGAGGATTTTAAAATAAAAACATATAGCCTTGGGAAATTATAAAAAAAATATTCTCCCAGCTTTCAATAAAGGTTTTATCTAAAAACATGAATACTAATACAACACATAGGCTTTTTATATCATGTAGTTTTGCTTAAGTCAATTATTTTATTAAAAAAAACGATGAAGGAAAATATTTTTGCTGTGTGTATGAGGGAGAGAGAGTTCGTCCTCCTTTCTGCATCTCTTAGGATAATGTCTCTGTTGTATCAGAGAACACAAAGCCTGTGCGCGTGTTTGTTTGTGTGAATGAGTTTCTTTCTCATTGTGCACCATGGGCTTGAGGTCACAGAGGACCTTTCTGTTCTCTCATTGTCTTTCTGCTGTCCGACATACTTCCTGTCCTCCGATGACTCGGTTAAAGCTTCCTGTGCTTTTGGTCTTCAGTTCGTTTAATCTGCTCATCTGTTCATTCAATCAGTGAACATGATACAATGAAAAAAAGATACACAAAGTCAGAAAATAGAGATGGATTTAAGTCATTTCTTCAGCTTTTGAACGCAAAACAACCCACTTGTCTGAACTGAACCTAAGATCAACAGTGACTAATGCTCAATACTGTCACAATAAATAACAGCAGTTTAACTTGAAGTTGAAATGCATTAAAGCAGAATGCAGCTTTATGCATAAAATCTTTTTTCATGTAAATGCCATTACTCCACCCTCTCTCTGAGAAACCTCTGACAAATGTACAAAAAAGTATGCAAATGTCCATTTAGATTTTCCTAAATGTCTTTAAATGAATGTTTAAAGAGATATGAGGGTACTTGATTAGCTGAAGTACAAGTATCAACTCTGAAACGTCAATAAACTCTTTACTGTTCAGATAAGCCTTGTTGACTTATTTGTGTGAGAAATATGTCATTTATATCTAGTGCCAAACTTCTGATGTGTCTGGTGTATGTTTTGTCTTTTGTTGCAATAAAAGAGTTAAAAAGACAATTTGCAGCATGAGGATAAAGAACAAGCCTTCTCCATTCGCTCTCATTACTTTCTCTTTGTTTTACTTTTACTATTTACTGTACTAAATAATACTACTACTAATTATAATAACATTATACGAATGCAAATTGTTATAAATAAACTGAAAAAAAGAGAAGGCATGGAGGCAGTGGTTTTTATATTTATGTAGGAAATAATATATATATTTTCATATGTAAAGATATTTGTGTATTGCTGTACATTCTGTGTGTATTAAGCAATGTGTAAGCATTTTGGACCTGCATAGGCGCAAAAGTAACACGCTCGGACGTAACTTTAAACCAGTTTTCAGTTGATCTGTTTCAGTTCTTCAAAATAGCAACGTACCAACAATGCGCCTGGTGCAATGCGTGGTGCAAATAGCAACAAATCGCACCACTCATGTCTTGCACCTTTAAAAAATAGCAAAAAACAAGAGCATTATACACAGTGTGAAAAACCATGGTCTGGGTACTGTGTCCTGCATTGAAATTTACAGCTGGTCATAACAGATAATAATAATAATTATAATAAACAATGAATCTAACTGATCTTAAAACATTTTACTGTTTCAACATTTTTATCTTAAAGATTTATGTTTAATTAAAATACATAAATAAATAAATGAAAAAATAAATGAATGAATAAATAAATAAATTAATTAATAAATAAACAAAATTACAAAATTGGTCTTTATATTATTTAGTTTTGCTTCTTGATTAAATGGTGCTGAGTGAAATCTTTGATAACTGTTTTAATGGAAGACATATCATTTTGCAATGTTCAAGAGTTGACACTTAGCTGATAATTGATTATAAGCTTATTCTCTCCATGCCGGGAGAGAGCCCTAAGCTCATAAGATCCTTGAGCTCGGGGTTCCCTCCCGTTTGCAAGGCGAGAGGGGAGTTTGAGCTCAGGTAGATCTCGAGAACTCCCCTGCTGTAGTAGCTAATGAACAGATAGTGATTGCTATTAAGAGATAACTACTGTACTTACTAGGTGCATGTCTATGTGCCAATTTGGATTAGTTAATTAACTTAGGTTGCATGTTTTTGGACGGTGGGAGGAAACCAGGGAACCCAGGGGAAACCCACATGAGTACAGGGAGAATGTGTAAACTCAGCACAGAAACGTTGGCTGACTTGGTAAGGACTAGAGATGTTCTTGCTGTGAGGCAACAGTGCTAACCACTGGGCCACCGTGCCACCCATCTAGGACAGTAGGAGGAGTAGAGATGGAAGGGGCGATTCTTCAAAATGAAGATGGCTGTCATATGGAACTGAGGGTATTTATAGTGGCTTAGGAACTGTCTGATTGGTGAATCATAAATTGAATAATGCGGGGCCAGCTGCAACCATAAGCATGTGATCCTCTCAAAATTAGTTTATAGATAAACTTCACTTTGTAAGGGGGATAGCTCATTTTTCTCACTGCTATGTTTTCATCTCTTATTCATGTGTCTGTGATAAAGCATTCTGTGAGTTTTGTTAATCAGTTTGTTTGATCATGGCTAAAGGAAATAAAGAACTAGGGGTAGCATGTACAATGTGTAAAGTATTGGTCAAGCACTGAGCCTTGGAGTACTCCGTATTGAACTTTTGATTCTTTTCTAATACCTTTATTGTTAAAGTATAAATTGATAACAGCAAGATAAATGCAATCCCATTATGGCCAACATACTGTAACTTTCAAGCCCAGCCAAGGGCAAATTAGGGTCTGTAGAATCAATTACTGAAGTCCAACAAAACCTATAGACAAATGCAACCATAATCGCTTGATAAGTCATTTGTAAAATTAAGGAAAAACCAAAGCAAATATTTACATACAATACCATATCATCTGCATGTCATCATGGTAAAGAGGAACTTTTATGTTTATTATAAATGGGACATTTATTAATAATAGAATTTTGTGATCATTGTGTGCAAAAATCATAACTAGAAGAGTTGTCATGTTATAAAAGAGTCGGGGCAATTCTGCTGTTACCACAATCTCACTCAAAATACAGCCGTTAAACACTAGTTACTATGCAGAACGGGGTCAATGTTCGGGGATTCATTGTATTAGTGATAAATTGTTATTATTTTTTCTCTCACAATGTCACTATTGTTCACCCACAGGCCAAACAAACACACGGGCCTTCTTGAGTCATGGTGGCTTAAACAGCATATATGAGGCCATGTATCACGGTGTGCCTGTGGTTGGTGTACCGCTGTTTGGAGATCACTATGACACCATGACAAGAGTTCAAGCTAAAGGCATGGGTATAATGCTGGAGTGGAAGAGGATGAGCGAGGAAGACCTTTACACTGCCATGGTGAATGTCATAACAGACAAAAGGTAAATTAAATTGCATTTGTAAAATGAATCCACTGTTTCCTCACACACACGCACACACACACACACACACACACACACACACACACACACACACACACACACACACACACACACACACACACACACACACACACACAAACACACAAACACACACGCTAGCTGCAGCTGCTGTAAAATGCCGGTTACAAAACACACATGCACAGAGCCGGGTTAATCTTTAATGACTGTGGAATTGGGGTTACTCGGGTTTAATTATAAACAAGACCTGTTGAAGACCCCACGAGGGTGTCAATATTTGTAGATCAATGGTGTTTTAACAAATCCATGAGAACAAAAGAGACACATTAGCTAAAAGCAGGATTTAGAGACAGAGGGCTTTTTAGTTGTATTACAGTAAGCCCAAAATGAAAGTTTTGTCATTATTTATCACTTTCATATTTTTTTCAGATGTATTGACCATTTTCTATTCCCCAACTGTAAACTATTGGTAAAGTGTTTTTAAACCCGTACAATAAGGTGACATTAGTTTCCCATCAGTATGACCGTCAATTATTAAAAGGAGTCAAATTATCTTATATATATATATATATATATATATATATATATATATATTAGGGATGTCCTGATCCCGATTGATATCGGAAATTCGTCCGATATTACAGTTTTTCTTGTTTGCTTTGACCTGGTTAAAGAAACTAAGTTCCACTTCATTTTTATTATCACTATCCCAGCAGAGCAGAAGACCGGTCTTGCAAATGTGTAAACCCTTTCTCATTGGGTTGACACATTTTCTGCACCATTTTTCAAAACAGTTAACACGGATGTCATTCAAGCAGTCCAAACTTCATTGTTTTAGTTATGGTTACCAAACTGAAACCATCCATTCCTAACCATTACAAACCACCAAGATCAGTATGAATTCACTGAAGCACCGGATTGACACTCCTTCACACAAATCTTCACTTAGCAATCAGTCTGCAAACATTAAAATGGTAGAAGGTCTGTGTTGTTCTGTGCCAGCATGGATGGAGTAGGTCAATAGTGGCTATTTCCTATACTCCCAATATATTTGACTGTATATTGGTTTACATGTGTTTTCTCTAATATTTACAATATTTTATTAGTTTTTTTCTTTTTTCTGCTTCTTTCTGCTACTTTTTTCTTTTTTAAATTTTCTTTTTCTTTTTTATTTTTTTTACGGTATTTTAGTTTTCAGCCACAGTTTGAAAAATGTCATGAATTCAATATAAGTTTGATCAAAGCATTTCTTATTCTTGATCCAATTCTTTGCAAAAAGGCCAATTTGACAGCCCAAATAGAATTCACACTGAGATCTGTATTTTGTTTTTTGTTGTCCATTGTCTAATGAATAATTGAAAGAGTTCATATACTTGTTTGCAAGTTGTGTTGTTTGAAGGTAAAACTAGCTTTTGTTGCATGTTTTTAATGTTTTGACACAGTATGTGCATTTTGCAAGCATAATGTTTCATTTTGACCATGAGTGCCGCTGTTTAGGCCTGTGTGTTAACTGTTTTGAAAATGTGGAGTTTCAGTTGACGGCTGCATCAAAGCAAACAAGAAAAACTGTAGTCCAAAAAACTATATTTTGATACTATTCTGAAGTAGTCAGAAGCTATTCTATCCAGCAGCGTCCAGAGCTAGCGTTCAAAGCCCACGTGATCACAACACTGCTTGCTAGCAAAGTCTCTGGTGTACTACGAAAGAAATCTATTGTGACGGTAGCACATGCTGATGCTAGCAACAACGGCACATCTCTAACGTTACTGGTTTATTTACTTTACGTCAAGCGACCTTTACATTGTTTTGTATAACGTTACGCTGCTAAGCAACATAAGGCACCAAATGGCGACTTAGCACACATCGTGCGAGCCTCAATTTGGTCATGGCATAACGTGGTTCATCCAGTGTGATACCTAATTCATCACCAGCGCTTCCCACATATAAGACTTTACTTCAGTGACCCGGTTCTGTGTGCTTGAGAAAAGTCTCCACCACAGACTTGCGTGCTGTGCTGCTGCATACCCACAGAGACGAGCTGGACACCTGCTCTGACTTTAGCTTTGAGTAGAGCGCGAGGACATGCAGAAAAAAAAGCCTTTTACTAAATAACTGTCTGTTAAATAAGAATAAGAAATCATGTTTGATGTATTTCAATCCAGCTACTGCAAATATATATGTTAAAGATAATATGTGCAATATATATTATTATAAAATTAATAATGTTTGGGAACATTGATACAGCCGTAATCTTCTTATGATAGAAACACAGATTAAATAGATCTGATAATGTAAATGTTTGTACGAACCATACTGCACATCTTTATTAACTTAACAATAAATTATTTCTGCTGCCCAGTGTGAAAGATATTTTTCAGCTCAACTGGATCAAAAATTAATCAAGAAGCTGTGTGAGAAATTGAAACTTTGGACACTCAACTTTTAGCAGTTGTTCAATTAACAATATTTGTTTTCTTATGTTCCTGCTGTCAGCTGTTTCTACCATTTGCTAATGGTAAAAAATAATTAACTGAAGTGACCTTTAATTAGTATATTTCACTTTAAAAATGTATTTTTGTTTATTCAATTAAGATATTTTTCAGGGTCTTAATATTTATTCTTTAATTATTTTTATATATTCTTATGTAAAAGGTTCACATTTATGCAACAAATAGTTTATAAACTGGTTGTTTTTTCTATACTTACTGTTGCTGACTTTTGTTCTCAGTTTGATCTAGCCCTTCATACATTCCACTCAACGAAATAGGTAAAAGTAAAGTATTCATGATTTGTGCTGATATCGGATTTATATCGGTATCGGATCGTACTGAAGGCTGCAATATCGATATCGTATTGGAAGTTAAAATGTTGTATCGGGACATCCCAAATTTTAATATGTATAGTTGAAGTCAGAATTATTCGCCCCCCCCCCCCCCCCCCCTTACTTTTTTCCCAATTTTTGTTCAACAGGGAGATTTTTTCAGCACATTTCTTAACATAGTAGTTTTAATAACTCATTTCTAGTTGCTGATTAATTTTATCTTTGCCATGATGACAGTAAATAATATTTTTCAATATACTTCTACAGCTTAAAGTGACATTTAAAGGCTTAACTAGGTTAGTTAGGTTAACTAGGCAGGTTAGGGTGATTAGGCAAGTTATCCAATCCGATGGTTTGTTCTGTAGACTATTGAAAAAAAATTGCCTAAAGGGGGTAATAATTTTGACCTTAAAATGGTTTATAAATTGAAAACTGCTTTTATTGTAGCCAAAACAAATAAGACATATGTGCATACTGTGAAAAATGGGGCGAGGCAGTGGCGCAGTAGGTAGTGCTGTCGCCTCACAGCAAGAAGGTCGCTGGGTCGCTGGTTCAAACCTCGGCTCAGTTGGCGTTTCTGTGTGGAGTTTGCATGTTCTCCCTGCCTCCGGGTGCTCCGGTTTCCCCCACAGTCCAAAGACATGCGGTACAGGTGAATTGGGTAGGCTAAATTGTCCGTAGTGTGTGTGTGAATGTGTGTGTGGATATTTCCCAGAGATGGGTTGCGGCTGGAAGGGCTTCCGCTGCGTAAAAACTTGCTGGATAAGTTGGCGGTTCGTTCCGTTGTGGCGACGCCAGATTAATAAAGGGACTAAGCCGACAAGAAAATGAATGAATGAATGAATAAATGAATGAATGAATGACTGTGAAAAATTTCCTCAGTGATGGGTTCACAAAATTTCCTCAGTGATGGGTTGCAGCTGGCAGGGCATCCGCTGCGTAAAAACATATGCTGGATAAGTTGGCGCTTCATTTCGATGTGGCGACCCCAGATTAATAAAAGGGACTAAGCTGAAAAGAAAATGAATGAATAAATGAATAAATACTGTTAAAATGTTCTTGCTCTGTTAAACATCATTGGGGAAATATTTTTAAAAGAAAAAAAAAAATCAAATGGGGCGCTAATAATTCTAACTTCAACTATGTGTATATATACAGTGCTCAGCATAATTGGGTACACCCCATTATGAAAATGAATATTTGTATTAATTTTTCAGTGAATATAGGCAATGTATTTTTGTGCATTTAAACAAAACTGATTTATTAAACAGATATATTTATTAAAATTATATTTTAGTCACTAAACATATTTAGAAATTAAAAGAAAATACAATTAAATTTAAGCAAAACAAATTCTGTACAATTCTGTCAAAAAAATCTCAACAATTTTTAAAAAATATTTTGCTCCTTTTGATTTTTTCCTCTTTTTTAAATTTGTGTTTCATATTTTTCTAGAACACATACATTTGCTTGTACTAGTTTTTGGACCATTATCGTAAATTATTGTGTTAGATAAGCTCCAGATTTGGCTTTAGTACTGACTAATCTAATGTATATACAAGAAAAGATAGGGGAGTGTAAGGGGTGTACTTATATACAGTATGCTTATATATACAGTATGCTTATATAAATAGACAAGAATTTTGGTATATAAACTGCTGTTACACTAAATAACATAAATACAGTTAATCATAAAACTGTATTACACTTTCATTGTTTAGATGCTTGAAAACCAATTTTGTATTGTACCATAAGAAAACAGGTGTTTAGAATAAAAGACTATCATACACTGCCACCTTGTGGCAATTTTTCAAGATCAACATCAAGATGATGCATTTGTGCTGCCTACAACATTCTGAAAACCAACCTCTCCATCTCTTTGTTTTAAGGTATCGTGAGCGAGCACAGTTGCTGTCTCAGATTCATAAAGATCAGCCTGGTCATCCAGTAAGTCGGGCGGTTTACTGGATTAGCTACATTCTCCGCCACCGTGGCGCAGAACACCTCCGCTCTGCAGTCTACGAGATCCCTACCTACCAGTACTTCTTATTGGATGTCGCCATGGTGATAGGAGTGTGCCTGCTTCTTACTGGCTATTGCCTATACCGAATAGTCAAGTTCATCCAATTTCGACTGGGGCGTGGTTCTTCTCCAGGGGAGAAGGTGAATGGACACTGTCATAATGGAATTCCTAATGGCAAGCACAAAAGAAATGGCCACGTTAAAAGTATGGAAAAGAAACTAAAGTAGAGCACATTTACGCTTCACTAAAGAGAGGAATTAACTACTCTTCACCCAGTGCAGGGCCTATACAGGAAATAAATATATGGGTCAATAACGAAACAAACCAACCATTATAAAAACAAACTGTAAGTGGCAAGCCAAAGTATGGACGAATGGAAGAAAGGCAGAAAACAAAAAAGGGAAACTCCTGAGGAAGTTTTTTTTTCCCTGTTGAACGGAGCTAATGTTCAGTTGTGGTCCTGAAGTTTATCCTTGTGGAAAAAGCAACAGATTTGAAGTTTAGCAATTAGTGTTTTAACAAAAAGCTGTAATGCTAAGGGGCATCAGGTTTCACGGCATCCGAATACAACAAAGATCTATTTATATCAAATTAATACTTTTTTTTTTGCACACAGCACTGTTGAGTGTTGTGCACTGAATATCATTTATGCTCTGTATTTATATCTCACGCACTCCGTCCCAACTTTGTTTTCATAACTTTAGCAATAATAATAATTGGACAAGCAATCAAATTTGCTAGTGTTTATATTGTCAGCCTTACTTTAATATTTCACTGCATCTAACATGTTTTGATGTTAATTTATAGCCTCATTTCTTATAGACAAAAATCTGCACTACCTAATACTGCTAGTTCTGCTAGCTATGCTAGAACCTTTGATGGGGATATCTTGAAATCTTGCTTACATTTACAACACCTTTGGGATGCTAGAAATCATTATACTGAAATGCTTACATTCTTACAGCATCTTTGCCTCTTTTCCCTGTTTGTTTTGTTGTTCTCAGCTTGTATCGTTCAATGAACAACGCAGCAGTTTCCCTATAGAAATGTGCAGGTCAGGTGGAACATCCCTCACACAGTCCTTCTGTTGGCAGATATGGGTTAAAATGAGTAAAATTATACATTTTATATGAATAATTAAGACATTTTACTCATATATTTTTGTTGCTTCATGGCTGTTTAGATTTTGAAATTTGATTTCTTCCTCAGTGCAGTCGTCAGTTCTTCTTTACTAGATAGTTTCTTTCATTTACCAAATCAGAAGGAACTTAGGAGGAACTTTTTTAACGAGGGTATACAGTAGTTTTTATGTGTGAGTGCCTGTGTCTCCCAAACAAGCTACTTTTTTATTGGAATGTTTCAGATGAGTGTTGTTATCAAAGCAAAACACTGTTTTCTGACATGTTCCCACAAATCAATAGGCCTAGAATGACCTAAAGGATTTTGGTAGTCTACTTTTAATCTTCAGAAATTTTGACCACAGGAAATTGCCTGTAAGGCAATATTTTGGTAACATTTCAATCCAACATTTAGTTGTTTAATTTTTCACCAGATGGTTTAAAATGTCCAAATAAAAATTGCCAGTAAACCATACTGCAGTTCACATGCTGGTTTTACAACTAAGTGTCAGACTGAACTGTTTCCAGTAATGGTCTCAGACTGAAAATAATTATTTTTAAATGCATCACAAAAATCTGAAATACACTTGACTCATCCAAATACAAAGTGGTATGACATGGAGATGTTTATTGAATGACAGCATGTTTCGTTAGGGCTTATTTTATTTAAACAATTTGAAACTGTGTACATATTTAGGCCAGTTGGCATAATTATTTGCATTATGTAGAGATTAAAGGCTTTAAATCTGTTTTTGAAAGTTTATAACAGAGTGGTGCAAGCATAATCCAGAAGAAAAATAGCTTTTAGTACCTTTGAGATTTTCCTGAAGGGTTTATAAGGCAATTTTCTATTTATGAATTTAATAAAGTCTATGGTCAACATTACTTAACAATATTTGAACACTTTGTTCCATTAAAGAAACACTTACTAGCAAAAATATGTTTTATAAAATACACATAAAAGCTTTCAAATTTAATTCATGTTTATTTCTATAGCGTTTTTACAATGTAGATTGTGTCTACAATGCAGCAGCTTAACATAGAAGTTCTAGTAAATTAAAAACAGCTTTCAGAGTTGAAGTACAGCTTAGTTCAGTTCAGTGTGGTTTAATTTTCACTGCTGAAAGTCTAAACACTGAAGAGCAAATCCATCAATGCGCAGCTTCACAAGTACCAAACCAAGCAAGCAAGTGGCAACAGCCACGAGGAACAAAACTTTAAGTGACGAAAAAGTGAAGGAAAATACCTTGAGAGTAGAGTTGTGCACAATTTGAATTCACAATTTGAAACGTGATTAGTAAACCGCATGAGGCTTTTATATGAAATATGCTGTATATGTATTATTTAATTTTCCCCGCCCAGAGTAAATGTGTGACTGCTGTCTGTTTGTGACAGACGTATTAGCCAATTGAGTGAGCACACAATCAGAATTGTGCGACCGAACTACGTGGAACACCCACAATAAAAAAGAAGACAGTATAATATGGTAATATGGGAATATTTTGGTTTCAAAGTCATAGACAGCGAACTAAAACAGGTTTAAAAAAAAAAATATATATATATATATATATATATATATATATATTTAAGAGCTGTCACAGAATTGATGCCATGGGTCACAGATTATTGAGTTGAAGCTTGACTACAAAATTTAGTCGCAAGTCAAATCGCAATCGCAATATCTGTCAAAAAAAACCCACTATTAGATATTTTCCCCAAATCGCACAGCCCTACTCGATGAAACCAGTCTCAGCTGCATCATAAATCATCATAAGTCATGTTTTTGATGTCAGACATTGTTTTACTCATAAATTAAAACAAAATATGGGAATACCCAATAGGAAAACCTCAAAATAACAATGGCAAATAATTATTTCGGGTTTTAACTGCAGCACTCTGTACATCATGAAGAGCTACATCATGGCTTTTTCAAAACCACCCTGAGAAGACTAATAATCAAACTCAAAACAAAATGAAAATTCTCATTAAAACGAATCAGATAATTCAAAAAAGAAAACAAACAGCTGTTTTTACCATGAGCTTTCAGCATTTCTTCAGCCAAGCACTATTTTAGACTGTCCATACTTGAAAATAAACTGGATGCAATATGGCTGCAGATGCATCAGAGCTATGACTGGTGAGACAGTGACACACACACACACACTTTGAACATTATTGTTGTTTTCTAGTAGTTGTTTTTTTCTGTATGATTTTCAGTATTAATAATATTAGATGGTTAACAACAGAGGAAAAAGCTGCAGATGGGCTCCAACCCTAATGGCTGTGACTGTTTGTGTGAGTAGTAAATGACTGTAATTTCTGTATGCGTGTACATTTGAATGAGTTTGCTTGAGCCTTCTTGTGTCCAGCTTTCAATTTATATACTGATCATTTAAAACCATTGCTCCAGTTCACTTACAGTACATCAGTAAGTTTCTTTGTAACTCATAGATTCCCGTTTCCCGATCAGTCCTTCTTAGAAGTAGTTGTTAAAAGCTGCTTGCAGAAGTTGTCTTTTTTTTTAGTTTTTTTTTTCAAAATTTCATGTGTGTCTGTGTTTTCATGTACATAAAAAGACAAACAAAACAACTAATGCTGAATAAACATTAAACATTTTGTTTGCTTACTTGTGTTGTCTGATGATTCCCTCTTGTTTTTTTTTTTTTTTTTTTTTTTTTGATGAAAAAGATGTTCCTAACACAAAGGAAAAAGGAAATGCAGAGCTGGTCTGAAAGTCACAAAGGCACATGAGTAGCGTCTCACTTTTGTTCTCAAGTTACACTGTCCCGAAGTGGTTTGTCTCGGATTTTCCCATGACCTCATTGATAGTTGTTTTGTAAAGATAACCCTTATTCTACAAAACCATTATTGATTCATCTGCGTTTGGTCCATTTTAAGTTCATACATTTGGCAAAATCACCTGTTAAAATGATTGAAGGAATAGTTCACCAAAAATAATGACATTTTAAAGAGTTTTTTTTTTTTTAATGCTGATCACAAAAGAAGATATTCTGAAGAATGTTGAAAGAAATGTGCTATCCATATTTTTAAAAAATTATATTTTCCACATCATTTTCATATGACCAAAAAGACAATTCTACTGCCTTGGAACTGGGTTTTACAGTAATTTAATTATTTATTTTTTGGTGAACTTGAAGTGCTTGTATACACGGTTTAGAAGAGAATAGTTGCATGCAGGGGGGATGTGAGGCAGTGTAAAACTACACGTCAGTTGGTCGGCAGGTATCAGGTGTTGTCTTTATGCTTTCAGCACTGTGTCATGCTAGAGGGGTGTGTATCCCGAAGATACTTGTGTGTGTGTTGATTAAGAGATAAACTGACACTTTATCTCATCTTTCTCTTAATTATTCACTGACGGTTTAGGATGTGATGTGCAAGTCTCGCAGGGTTATGTATGAAGACTGATAATGAGACTTTTCTGGTTTGAAGGATTGAAAAAGACATTTCTGCAAAACAATGTTACAGACCAATCACAAATGCCCCCCAACCCCCCATTGCATTCCTCTTTCTGTGTGTTTTATGTAATATTTATGTAATATGATTATTTTCTGCCCTATTATGATCAGCTATTTTTGTTCAAAATTTTGATAGGGTTCGGTACGGTGGCTCAGTGGTTAGAACTGTTGCCTCACAGCAGGTATGCTGCTGCTTCGAGTCTTGGCTGGGCCAGTTGGCATTTCTGTGTGGAGTTTGCATGTTCTTCCCAGCTCGGGTATCGCTTTTTCTCTGGGTGCTCTGGTTTCCCCCGCAGTCCAAAGACATGCGGTATATGTGAATTGAGCAAAAAAAAAAAACTAAATAGCCATAGAGTGCATGTGTGAATGCAAGATTGGGTGTTTCCCCTTACGCAGTACTGGGTTGTGGCTGGAAGGGAGTTCGCTGTGTAAAACATATGTTGGAAGAGTTGATGGTTCATTCTACTGTGGCGAATCTTGATAAATAAGGGACTAAAAGCTGTGGGGTGATTGCTGTTACCCATGGTGCCTGCCTTGGTGCGTAGTCGTGGATTTACTGTATACTTCTGTGTGCTGTTTGTGTTTCTTTGCAAGAACATTTCCAAAGCAGGATTTATTGTTTCTCTATGTCAAGTTTTTTCCCGGGTGTTTTGCTTTTTCTGAATGCAACCTTAATGTACTGTACAAGTAGCTAGAACTGGCTCATTCAGAGGCTGGAACCGGCAGACGTGCAACAACTTTAACCATAAGGTAAACACAAAACAAAATGCTTCAATTTTTCATTCAAGCAGCTACACTGCTTCACTTTCTTTCACTTTCACACTTGTACTTAGAAATTTTAGTGAAAACCTCAGATACTGTTGGTTGTGCACTTTTTTTACTGACCAACCTCCCGCGGAAAAAGTGTTTGACACTGGTGGTAATTTGTGTGCAACTTATCTTTATTTATTTATAAATTGCTTATGAGTAAAACAAAGACCATGCGGGTCAGATAGTTGAAACGGTAGGCTACAAATAATTAATTCATTACAAATTAAATTATTATTCATAAATAATTAATTCACCTCCGCCTATGACGACGATGCCATCGTCCATTGCGATGTTTCACATTAGACATCGTATGATGCCAAATTAGTCGACATCGCCCAACCCTAGTTGGAAAGTTCAAGCTTGGTGAACTCTTACCTGCGAAATCACATCACCTGACTGCGTGAGACCAATCGAAGGTCAAAATATGACCTCTCTGGACAGGAATTTAAAACATGGACCAATCGTTCGTTTTTTAAATGTCTAATCATCTTGTTTATTCCCACCCCTTTTCGCAGCACCGTACAACTGAATTTTGCACACACAAACTCTTGTGTTAACGCAGCATAAATTAGCATTAAGCTGAATGAATGAATGAATGAATGAATGAATTACTTTTTGAAATGTTTAATGTGTCCTTGGTTAACAAATCTGAAAGAAAAATACCTTCAGTATGTTAGTACCTTTAAAAAGTATAAGATGATTTAATATTTACTGTTTTTAACATTGATTATAATAAATGTTTCTTAATCATCCAATCATGTCTGTATGACAATATAACAAATGACAAATCTGCCAAGTTAAGTCACACCACATGACAAATAAATAATAAAATTATATATTATAAAAATTATTATACAATTAACACAGTTGTGCTGAGAGTAACTCAGACCAACAATAAAATAATGTTTCATTTAATGTTAATTGTAAAATTTGTCACATTATTACAGCAGATTAGGACACGTGAAACAAAAAAAATCCCCTCTTAGATTCAAACAATATACAAAACAGTATATTACATGAGTGGTACCACTCATGCTAAACAGAAAGCAATTGGGTTTATTGAAAAAAAAAAATGCAGTTTTGTATATGCAGTTGTGAGATTGTTTATGTGCAAATGCGTATGGTCATGTTTTCCTTTTTTAGTGTTCTTCTATTTGCATGTTGTTGTTTTTTACTTGCAAGACGCTTGAGCTCTCTCGGCCACCGTATCGTGTTCAACCCAAAGACAATATAATATAAATTTATCTATTATGACGTCTATGCCTATTTTATTTATTGGAGTCCCAGACTTAAATAGCCTTCGAACGTTCGTTTTAATAAATTATTGGAATTATGGTGACGTCGGTACCACCACTAACGTTATTCAGAAAGTTTGTGGCTGTCAACGCCAAAACAAACAGTTTTGTGTATACTATAATTTTGAGTGCTAGCTGTCTGTTCTGCGTGTTTTGTTTGTGAAATGGAGAAATGTGCTGGAAAAAAACAATCGATTTTAGACGATTAGACCAGCAGCAACGCTAGTCAGTCTGCAGGGGGAGCTGAAGGGATGTTTAAAATTAAAAGCAGGCCTCTGAACTGAACTGAAGACAGACAAAACTGAAGAAATTTACTTCCCGAGATCATCTTTAATGAACAAACACAAAACTTGTCCATGCATCAACTTTTTTATTACTTGTGGAGGAGGACTGGACATGTTGACTGGATTGATTCAGTGGAGGATGAAGGCCTCTGACGAGTAAGTTTTTTTTTTAAATATTATGCAAGCAGTGGAAATCATTATCACATTTGCAGTTTAAAAAATTGTTGGAGGTTTTGCAGAGGTAACTTACGATAAATTATTCACTAAAGGTACTTTCAAAAACTTTAAATCTAGTGTATGCTTGCATTTGTGTGTTCTTGCTAAATGAATATGTGGGGAAGATAAAACCTGGAAATTTTAAATATGTTGGTAAATGTACTAATCATTTTTATATATGAGGAGAATGTAAAAACTGGATAAATGTATTGTTTGGTTGGTATAAAAACTACAGTTTATGGCATGCCCCTGCAGCCCACAGGCGTTTGTACTGCTAAAATGGATTAAGCTCAATACGCTACTTGTTGTTTGTTAAGTAAGTTATAGTGTATACAATTGAATAGTAATTTCAGAGTATTCTTCATTTGACTCATAAGATTACACTGGCGTTGAATGCACGTTTAACTATAAGTGTACCAAAGTTTTGTATAATGAACATTTATTTTACCTAATTCTACAGTATGCGAATTTTGGACTAGCAAAAGCCAGGTTTCTTTTAAAGAAGAACTCCGATTACTGTTGATGTTGGCATTTTGGTCTCCCGCACAAAAGTGTGTGCTGAAATGTTATTTTTGTGTTACCAGATCAGTTGTCAAGTTAATTGGAAAATATGTAGGCTAAATAACACATTTTATTTAGCAGTAAGCTAATAGTAATAGCCTAGGGAACAAAGTAAACCTTCCTCAGCACACACATATGAATGGTGCCTTTAATTTTAATTACATTTTTTTTTTACCTGTGTGAATATATCCTCCATGTGGCATTACTACTGAATCAGTCTCAGAAAAAAACAGTTATGTACAGATATTAGTTATGATACATAAGTTAGAAGTTATATAAAACACATAAGTTATGTGAATTTAGTTTGATGAATTGGGTACAGTTGACACACGGTCCTCACACAGGCATGGAGGGCGCCTCTCTCTGCTCACGTTAAATTGCAGAGGCATCAAACTCACTTCCTGGAGGGCTGCAGCCCTGCAGAGTTTACTTCCAACCCTGCTTCAACACACTTACCTGTAGACAGCAAAATCATAAGTAGGCCTGTCACAATAATCAATATATTGACTTATCGCACTACACATGGACATGACCTCAATCATTTTTGGTAATGCATACAAAAACAAAAAATAAAAAATGTAAACATTTTTGACGATGTGTCAGTATTGTTGAAAAAAACACTATAGTATTTACAATAAATTGTTTTAGTATGTTTTCATGTGGGTGTCTGACAACTGAAAATAGATCTGGTACCTGATATCGCTGCCTCTGCTACTTTTTACCTTGCACTTTTTTGTTAAAATGTATTATTATTTATTTAGGATATGTGTTATCACATTCTCATTCCAATGCCTAATCGTTAAATGGTTAAAATGACTATAATTAAATGAAATACTCCTCCTAAGTATAAAATATTATTTGTTCTCTGGAAAAGTGAACTTGCATTGGATGATTTTATATGGTCATTCTGGTATTTATAATGAGTGGTATAAAATTGTCTTAAAATGACAATAATATTATTTATTGCGATATATTTTGGTGCAA